AATAATTATTTGTTATTTTTTACAGATTAAATCTGTGTCGCAAAACTGTAGCAGAAACTCGTGAATTATGTCAAAGGATTAACAATGTTTTGACACAATATTTGAATAATGCTCCATTGAAATTTTATGATATAGCATCAGCCATATTAGATGAATTGTGGTACATGGATGTAACTATAGATAAACATGCTTTTCTAAAATTTACCTATCAACTGCATGGTATAAAATGTGAGTGTATTTTTATTTTAATTATTCGCATAAATTTATTTAATATATCTCATTCTGATTAAGTAAAATTATTTTTTTACTTATTAAAAAAATTATGCTTTAAAAAGGATATAAGTAATAATTTATTTTTATAGAAGAATTTATTTTTACATACACTCATTAGTTAAAAGGTTAAATATTCTTTTTTGATGGATTTCGGAATGCAATCCTCTTCTCGAGCGATTGGTTCTCATGAATCTAACCATCTAACCATTTATGTTCAAGTACGCTACAAACAAGGCTGAGTTCCGAAACCCATCAAAAAAAGTATTACAGCCTTTTAACTGATGAGTATACATTAACCTTATTATTGTAATCTAATTTTTGAATATTTATTTTACAAAAATTTATTTTACAAAAAAAGACCGATTTTTCGCGATTTTATTTGTCTGTTATAAATTGAATAAATCATATAAATTCCAAATTTTTGTAAGATGATAAAAATTAATATATATATATGTAATTTTCATAAAACTAAATTATTATTTATATCTTTAACACAAGTTGTTGATGTATTATTATCAATATTTATTAATAAGCATTATTTTTAGATTAAACAAATATTGAATAAGAAAGTTTCTTAAAAAGTTTCACAACTATACAAAAATATATTAACATTATTATTAATTATTCGGTTACGATATTTTCTGTATTTTAAAATTTCATTTTTATATTAAATAAATATAATTTATATTATATAAAAGAAAAATAATATAAATTAGTACAACAGTTATAATAAACGCTTTTGATTTAAATTATTAATTTGATTTTACTATGTAAATAATCATTGTTTGATAAGTTTTGCATTGTCAAAAAAAGTACAACATATTCAATAAAAAAATTGTTAACATTTCAGATAATAAATCACTTGGATGGTATAGTCGACTTAATGCAAAATATCGTGATGTCATAATTTACCTTTGCCGTAAGTATCGTAAAAATATATGTTATGTTCTCAATATTATCTGCATACTAATTTATTATTTTATTTCAGTTGTACCGTATATCGGAGCAATAGTAAGAACTTATTATAAATACATGCTTCTATTTACACTGTGGTTTACAAAGAAATGGCCTATATTGGCATGGTTATCACTTGGCAAAAAAAATTCTCATATCAATATGTATTAAAAATACGATCGAATAATTATAAATATGCTCTTTCTCTCTTTTTATCTTTTTAGTAGAAAAAACAGCTTAATGATCACTTTGTGCTGCTTACATTTTCAGATTACAAAAAAAATTTTATCTTAAATAAGGAAATTGCTAAATGAATACAGCCAATATACATAAGGTTATAATAAATAAGGTTAAAATAAAAATTATCTTGATTACAGTTTAAGTAACCAATGATAATGCAAGACAAGACTATTTAGCTATTACTACATAATACTATTATATAAGCTAGTTTATCAAAGATCAATTTTCTCTGGAAGGAAAAGTCAATTTGTTAATAGATAGTATATATGAGTATTATATAATTATTAAATAGTATTTTATAAATTAATTATTGTATTAGCAAGATATACTCTCAACCAGAAATAATATTATAATAATATTAATCGATCAACGTTGATTTGATTTGTTATTTTAAACGAAAACTAGATTACTTCAGAAATACAATAGCAAATAAATTTAAAATTCTTGTAAAAATAAATATGATATACTGTTTATTTCTTTATAATTTATTAGTACACAGAATTAAATTTTCAAAAATGATACCCAAAAATAAATATTCAAAAATTAAATTTTGAAAAAACCGGTTAGAACACATTGAAATATATACAGGGTATCTGGAAATAATCGCCAAATATTTCATGGGCAAGTAGAACTGAGTCGAAAAGTCCTCTACCATTTTGTAAATTTCCCCAATAGTTAACGAGATATTAATTCTTAAAAATAGCCGAATATACTACTGCGAAGTATATACGCCTATCGATCACTTGGCGCGCGGACCGAGGGGAGCGGGGATAACCTGGCAAGCATCCGAGCTATGGAGGCTTGCGGCG